AAGTCTTGTGTTTTACTGTGCTTGAAAGATTAATTTAGTTTGAGGCTGTAAGAAAATCTAAAGGATTCTAAATATTTTTTTACATATTTGCAGTTAGTAAATGAGGTATTTAATAAAAGAAAATCACTGAATCTCTCAAGGAATAATGTTAAGCAGTCGCAAAGAGTTGCATAAATCTGGTTTATTTACACCATTAATTGTCAATTTTCTAATAACTAAAATCTTAAATGAATATCTGGGGGCTGATTTCTACTTATCCTGTTCAGAAAGTCATGTTTTTAATACTCTAAATAGCCCTAATGTCAATGAATGGATTAGAGTCGTCAACTCCCATCAGTTCCAGTGCATTCCCAATAACATAATACAGTTCACATGCTGAAAGACCCAAGTGGACACAAGTACTTGCAACACTGGGGTCCCTGTTTTTGTCTACTAATTGTGTTTTATCTTTCAGCTGCACAGGGTTTAATTGGTTGTTGGTAATGGTGTCCTAATTGAAAGGAAAGCCTGTTTTTTATCATCTTGGCCGTTGGTGTTCCATCCACCATGATTACTGGCTGACCTTCTTATGTTCCTACCATCTGCTGTTTGTTTTCCATAACTCCTTGGCTTGTGATGTGCGTGTTGCTTAAATACCTTGTTTATTTTATAATAAAAACAAATTAAGTGTTTATTGTATCAGATGAGCTGTTGCCTCTCAGACACTGCCGTTCATTGAAATTGCTTTATTAAATGTTGTTGTAGATGTGAACCTTGGTTGTTTTATGCTAATTACAATTCATTATCGGTTAAAAAAATCTAAATTCCATTTCCTTGATTAAACACCATACAATATTTATAACTATAGGGAGACATATGCAATAATTTATTTATTAATACTTTTAAACAGAAATGTATTTTTGAAAAAGAAAGAACAGATGCTGATTAAAGGATAAGATAAACCATATGGCTTTGTGCTTCATTTTGGTTTCTGGCACTAGATATCACTTTAGATGACAATCTTTGTGTCAAAGCTTGGGTTCACCAGCAGTTTAAACTGACTAAGTTTAGTTGCTATAAAGCCACAGAATTTAGCCTTGCATTTACTTCGTTGTTAGTCCTTGAATTTGAAAGTCTGGGATGTTTTTCCTCTGTCTAACCCCTTAGCCATTCAAATACAGAATCATCAAAATGCAAAGCAGATATAGTTTAAGTGTGAGAGAAGCCCACTCACAAGTATCAAGGAAAACTCACATCTATTAGGTAAAACTGCATACATCAGGTGTCCTCTGATTTATGACCATAATATGGATAGAAATGCTGAAAAAATGGTGGCATCTTTAAATTGAGAACAAAAAACAAGGTTAAAGGTTCTGAAAGCTTGCACATTATTCAATTGCTGCTTTTTCTTTTAGAGAAAAGGCCCTTGAGCTATGGTTGGAATAGCTGTATTTTAGGCCTTTTATTTGCAGGGCTAAATGAGGATGTGTTCTAGTTTTTCAGATAATATTCTCAGATATTGCAGAGCTTTGAAGTAAATGGCAAAAATATGCAAACTAATGAAAGCATTCAGGTTAATTTACAAAATTGTTCTAGAGATTTATAGTCATGACTGCTCTGAAAAGATTGAAAGACCAAAACCATTACAGGCACATGGAATGCTTTGAAAATAGGTATTTAAAATCCTTCTCCAGAGAAATCTGCAGTGGACAGCAGGAAGCAGTGTTTGTCCGGGGAAAACAAAGTGAAAGTAAATGTATAGATTGTAAACTAAGAAAAAAACCTAGTTTGTATGAAACCAACCTGAAATGAGGGTTAGCAGAGGAATAGAGGGCTTTAAATTGAAGAATGAACCAAGTTAGTTTCATGTGAAAGCAGAAAGACTACTGAGCACAGCCTGTAGATGTACAATAAAGACCTGTTATTATGTAAGCACTAAATACTTTGCATTTGGACAGACCATCCTTTTAATTTCTTGATCAATTCTTGTTTTGTGTTTCAGGCATTTAGGACCATAGGTTTGTCTTCATAAAGGGAAGAGATTGGGCAAAATTAGTTAAATAAAATATAAAACTGCCTGATTGGATATAAACATTTTCATTTAACTTCTTACTTTTATACATTTAGAATATTTGCTATTAAAAAGTAAAATCAATTATATATATATAGTAAAATTTTAGGCTTCCTAGACTTGTGTCTTTTAACTTTTTCTATGCATTCACATTGTCCTAACAGCAATATTTCAGTGGGAAGAAAACAGTTCCTCATCTTACCTCTTTCTCTTACAGAATGAGAAGCAGCTGGGACACTCTGCAAGCCGGTCAAGTAATATTTCAAAGGTATGTAACCTTTAAGTAGTCACAACTCAAAAACAGTACATGTAATGTTTAAGTCTGTAAGAACTGTAATCCAATTACTGTGTAGGCCTCTTAAAGTGATCAAAGAATAAAACCTCGGAAAAGTGCTAAATTGGTCTCATTCATCAAATAAGTGGTCAGTTATTACTTGACAATTAAGCTGAAGGGAAAATCCTGAGAGTTATTACAGGCTGCTCCAGTTTTCACCCATAGTCCAAAAGCATGCTGGTAGGCTTTTTGGCTTCTGGGAAAATTGGCCATGATGTGAGATAAGGGAGTTTGTTTGCCATATGTACATATACAATGGGATTCTTACTAAAGGCTGTTCTCTCAGGACATGCACAGTACAGCAGACAACTCAGTACAACAGATAACACCACGCAATGTGGTGTGAGTGTGTGCCTGTCAGTGTCTGCCCTAAAATGGGGCTATAAATCTGTCCAGGCTACAGTATGTCATTTGCCCGTTGCTTGCTGGGATAGACTATGGCTCTTTTGCGACCCAGCGCTGACTTAAGGGATAAGAAGGTGGGTGGTTGAAAAAAACCCAACACCTTCTGCAAAGACTAGATTTTTTGGGGGTGAGGAATCGGCTATCCCAGATAATTGGGCTTTCATTGAATAAATGTTGTCATATTTCTTTACATTTGAGTTGGGAAAAGCAAAGGAATATGCAGCAAAGCAGTAAGTACTGTTTCTACAGTTAAAAACTAAATGTAATACATTTGATTGGCAATATAGAGGGTAAATGTTGTCTGTAGTCCTTGTTTGTGTGGTGTGCTGTACAATTTAATTTAAAATGTATTCATGGTTATGAATGCTTTGAAGTCTATATTTACTCTACAAGACTGGAGCCCACTCTCAAGGTAACACCTTTGTTTTCATAGTATATCAGTGCCTTTTTAGTACAGTAAATGTGCAGTATGTCTTAGGACCATGAGCCAGACGCAGTAAAAATACACTTCAGTGGCTTGGTTTTAGCATATTAAAAGGCCTAGTGAAAAGTTGCCTCTAACCTTCTACTTTATTTTTGTTTTTCATATCGAGGTTCCTTTATTCTCAAATGCCAGCTTTTAATACCTCCCTTTCATGTTAAAAAATAACCTTCAACAGCCTGGGAAAAATCAAAAGAGCTGAAAAAGGAAAATGTGATAAGAAGCGACTTTCCCTCAAGGCTACATCTGTCTCCTAAGGCAGCTTTAGCGAAGTCCATTTCGGTGTATGTGTGAGCCTCTTAGCAGATAAACCATTTACTTGATGTTAGAGTCACCCTCACTAGTAATAGTTTCCTGCACTTCCACTGGTGCGTATGTACAGTGTAGTGACATTATGCACTAAGTACCTGCTAGAACAGTGTTGCGCTGTGTATTTCATCCAGACCTTGGCAGAGGATTGAGCAGTTTGGCAGGCTATGGCTGGTAATCACTGTGGCTGACAGTCAAAGATAAACAGCAGGTCTGTATAGTCTTTGCCAGAAAACATTGATACATTGTAAACCTCAAGAGGGAAGTATAAATTTAGATGAAAAAATTAAAGTTTTGCTGGGGGGGTAGGAGTTTTTTTTTCTTCCATATTTTAGAGTTATTTATTTTTTCTGAATGGGTTTTAAAAGAAATGGACCCCTTAAACTCGTTTTTCAAAGTGGACTATAAAATTAATTGTTGCGGAAGTTTTTTAGTTGAAATGAATTTTATGTATGGCCTTCATGGTCTCAGGACAGTGATTTTGCTCTGCATGTATGCATCACTTCATACTCTGCTGTTGACCTTGTCTGTGGGAAATTGGGTAGTTTACAAAATAAAGCTGTTGCAGTTGTTATCCATTTAGTGTTGGTCTCAGAACTGACTTCAACTATTTGCTTTTGCAGTAAGCTCTGAGGTCAGTTGTCTTCCTAATTTTAATCTTGATATCTGACAACAAATATTTCCCAATGACAGGCAGCACTGAAACCATTGATATGAAGAGGCTGAGATCTCTCTCTGATTTTGTACCAAGGACTTAATGCATTTTTCTCTGCTTTGTTAAACCACATAAAGAGAGATTTGAGGGTTTAAGTCACTTCTGCCCTCCAATGCATTCTGGGAAATGTGGATGTATTGTCAGGGGGCTGATGTTAACCTGTGTAGAGACATATTTACAAATAATATATAATAAAATGTGCTTGAGGATATTAAAAAATGAATGAGTGACATACTTTAGGTTTGGAGGTAGCCATAGAAATTGAGACATTAATGTCATTAATAATGCTTCTAAAGTTATATAGATGTCATTTAACCTCTAGGCTGGTTGGGCCAAGTAATTTAAACATTGCTATACTGTATTAAGAAACCAAAGAGAAAAACATTTGATTAGTCATATTGTAGACACACCTGACAATGGCATTTCAGGCATGGAAATAGTACCCAATTTCCATAGTATTGAGATCCGTTCACTCATTACTAACAGTGTGCTATTTTATACAGGCCAACAAAACCTGCTACATATTTTGTATTATCCTATTTGAGAATGTTTGCAGAAATATTGGGTTACAACAATGAGTCTTATTTTCCTTTTCAGTGTGACATAAAAAATGTAAACTCTATTGGGAAAACAGATATTTTGAAACTGCATTTCTTTTGCAGTGAAATAGTCATTTTCAGTGTCTTAGGACTGGGTATGTGATGTTATCGGTGCTCTGTTGGAGTTTTTTTAATAATAAAGATCCGTGCCATTTCATAATCTTTGGTTTCTTTTGTTGTTGATTTTTACAGTCTTTACATTTGTGAGTTTATACAGATGAGTGGGTATATTACAGTCCTGTATGTGTAGATGCGTAACTGAAAGAAGGTACTCTGAACTATTTACTTAGGTCTGGAGACTTTTATTCCAACAGGTTTTTTTTTTTCATTTAAATTTGAGTGAAAAATGACTACATGCTTCTGATTTGTGAAATGTCTTTTGTGGAACATTCTCTTTCCTTTTCAGGGAGCAGATGCATAAACATGAAATGCTTATCTGAGAGATGTCAAAAGGAAATAGGTTGTCCCAGTGATATGTGTCTTTCTCACCAATTCAAGGTTTAGCAAAGACATTGCTGACAGACAGTCATACAGTTTAATGCCTCCAAACAGACAGAGATTTACAGACATGTAATAGACATTACAGTTTGTACTGTACAGTATGTATTCAAAAACATGCTTCTTTGAATGACAGTGATGTTGAAGGGCAGAACTACAAGGCCATTCAGCACTACAGGAATGAAAACCTCTGCTACAATAAAGCATCAAGAAGTACTATAATGTAATGTTTTATTTATCAAACTACATGTTAGGAAGTTCATAGAGATACTATGGTAACTCAGCCTTTGGCCACATCAAGAGTAAGCTGAACAGTGAAGGTAAAGATATATTGTAAGTCGATATAGCACACCCATGATTTCTTCAGTGATTTGTGAATTTCACCCCACCAAGGTACTCGGGGCTAAAATAGCTAGACTAAAAGGGTAGACTTCAGTGAATAAAGAGCCTTATGAAAGACTGTCATTTGCTTTCCTTGGTTTAAAGTGGATTAAAGAACTTTTCTCACATTAGCACTGATGCAGCTGCGATACCGAGATGGAAGGAGCTGTCAGACTATGCCTCAGGGAAGGAGGAGGCCTTCAAAGCACATGTTTTCACCCTGAGGTGTAAATGCAGCCACTCAGAGGCATGACCCAGATTGTCTGGGGGGGAGAGTCCAGCCTTTCCCTCAGTCTGTCTCTCCCATGTTGCTGACTTATTTATATATATCCGTTCTTTATCGATAAATGGTGAATCATTTATTCATGGCCAAATGTTTGGATCGATTGGGGAAAAAAATCTACAATCAATTAATTCCAGTGTACACGTGCAATGTATCAAAAACATATTGCATAGGAGAAAAGGTCCAGTATGTGTCAGGACAAATGATGGATTGAAGTCCATGTCAGTGAAAGCTGGGTGGTGATCCCTTTGATTTACCAGTCCAGATGAACTTTGCACAAACTAAGGAAACACAATGGCTTTTCTTTCATGGCAGTGCTGTAAGCAAGTTAATCCTGTCCAGTTAAATATTTAGTAGTTCAGTGTCTTTGTTTGTACATGGCTTTCCTTTAAATTGCTCACTTTCCTATAGTGTTCTTTGAAGACTGTTGCATGACATGATGCAGATATTTCATCACAGATTTGTGCCGATTCTCTACACGTCACTGCAGTTCTGAAACATAGTCATGAGAGTACATCAGTTTGCCATTGTTAGTTTTGTTTTATACCAACATGGTTCCAGCATTTCCAAGTTGCCATAGAACATTGTACAGTAGAGTCTGGAAATGAAGCTGTTCCAGTAGAGGCTGCGAGTGACTTCTTGCAGCCAAATGTGTGTGCAGCTTTTCTCACGGCAAACACTCCGAGTGGGAAACTGGGATAACTGGGAAAAAGTCCCTGTCCACCTGTGTGACCACAGACCCATATCTCCCTCCCAGCAAGCAGGTGTCTCTGGTGGTGGCTACCCATGTCCGTATCTCCCATATCTCATGCAGCAGGGTTAGAGGAACACAAGGTGTCACAGATCTTAAAGGTTAAAACCTTAGAATAAGCTTAATACGATTAAATTTGACTGGAAATAAAAACAATGGATGGTGACAATTACAGTGCTGAATGATGAACATCTAACCAAGGGTGAAACTGTGGTGGGGGGACTTGAGACCATCTGAAAATATCACTTGGTTTTTGTTATATGAAAATGTAAGAATAGAATTCTACTTCCAGACAGAACTGCTTGATTCTAAACTACCTGGAGTTACCTAATTACCTAATTGAAAAAGCATTCTGGAAAAATCAAGATTACAAACATAGATAAACAGGTCCTTGCAGATAACCTATTAAAATTAAATATCTAAATGACCTAAATATTGTGCACTTTACAGTTTATAAGTGAAAAGATTAAGGTAGGTATAGATTTGTGTAGGAACCAAAAAGCTTGTTGATGCCTGTGGATCCTTCTTGCCTGATGACGCAGCTCCTTGCTCTACCTTTTATATCTCTTAAGTCACTGTGCCTTGAGAGCTATGGTGGAATACTTCCAATTACTTCCAATGTATCTTACAATTGCATCTCACTGCAGAAATAATGGATTCTGACACCAAATTGCACAATTTGTGTTAAGTGAGCTTTTCCCTGATATTTTCTTGTCGTTTGTAAGCAGAGTATGTTTTACATTTTGTTGAACATGAGGAACTGACTGCAGAAGCTCTATAGCTTTACAATATATAAAGTGGGTATAACACTGACTGTCCTTCATTTCACAACATGGGGAAATAGATGATTGTATGTGGCTTTGAGAGTGATAGGTCAGCGGAAGCTAATGTGTGGCAGTGCTGTAGCTCAAAAAGCACTTTACTCATAGGGAATGTTTGTTAGATCTCCTTTAGATTTTAGGTAGCAGGGAAAATGTTCAGCCTGAAATAAAAACTGGCTCAGTGTTTAGAGGCTGATAACATATTACTCATAATCGCTGAGTGAAAATCTATAGCACATGACCATATTTGAGTTTAGTGCCTCGAAAGATAGAAACCATCTGATAGAGGAGAAAACTGGTCCAATAACCTCGGAAATTTGTTTTTGGAAGAGCATTTTAGAGAAGAAATTCAACTTAATACCTGTATATTAACCTTGAATAGAAGTGAAGATGGTCTCAAATGGTATCATATTTGTATATTTGTGACAAGCCTTTCCTTTTTTCACTTATTTGTGCAATCTTTGCGATCCAAGATTATTTACTGCATGCAATTTGTTTGTCCATCTCCAGTAAAAGAGGTTTGATAATGGCTTATGAATTCACAATGAATTTCACTGTTATTTCCTGATCATTCATACATATTTCTGTGATTTTCTTCAGTTGATAGCTGCTGTTCAGACAGCAGTTTGTTTCCTTGGTGGAGTGCTGCAACATAGCAAGTGAATAATGCTCTTAGTGCACACAGACTGAAGAGTCCTAATTTTACCTGATGGAACTGAATATACAACAAATCCACTTTGAGACACATGACATGCTTTGGAACCACCTCCTGTTTCTAGCATTTTGAGTCAATATTCTGCAGATGACTCTCTCAAATTAAAATGTTTTACCCTTTTACCTTGGCAATAAGTTTTCCTCTGAGAAAAAAACCTTTTCAGAAATTTCTTTGTGTACGGGATTGTAATTGGACCCCCCCTTTGCGAAAGATACATGCGATACGTGCAAATGTGTTAAAGATGTAAAAAAATGTGTTTGTGTCATTCTACACTCATACTATTTCCTATACAATGATCTCCTTGTTTTTAATTTGAACTAAATAATAAATAATATGCAAGTGTATATTTTTGATAGAACATGCTCCTTAAGTTTTGTTTTCAGTGTCTTATGTTGTTTCCATTATGTATGATTTTAAATTAAAACTAGCTTTTAGTTTCCATGTTTTCTAGTCTGTCCTCGTTGGTTTATTGATATTCAATAACCTTGCCTCATACTGTAGTTGTTCAGCATAGTGCTGTGAAGCTGTTTTTTAGATCAGCTGTCCTGTCTATAAAGAACAACTTTCAAAACAAACATCTTATGTACTTGCTTGCATTCATTATGTATTGATTACTGCCGAGCCTACAGCCACAAACTATTGGCTTCATTTATTTGTAGATTAAATCAATGAATAATTTGAGTCTTTAAAGAAAACACAAGATAAAAAGGTCAATCAATGTAAACCAAAACCGTAGTACAAAAGAGGAGGTTTTCAATGTTTTCTTCTAATTAACTGAGATAATAACTGAAAGAAAAAAGATGAATAAAGATGCGACTGTACAGATCACAGTGCTACTGTGTACTGTGTGAAGCAAGCTGGATAAGATACTTTTTTTTGAAAAAAAAGTATTTTTTTTTCTTCACATTGTCCCTGTTTGTGCTGTTCTTTTGTGAATTTCCACCAGGTATTTCATCTGAACAGTTCTTTAAACCGCACAATGAAATGAGGAGATTAATGCCATTTATCAGGATTCAGACAGCGGGGAAAGAAGGAACATCTATGACAGGAATCTCAAACTTTTTTCTTAGGGGGCCTAATATTTTCTTTTTTCTGTTCTAGCCTCAGTAGTCAATTGAAAAAATTAACCCAGTTATTTTCTTAGTAGTTATATATGATTTTTAAAGACATTTTAATGTCTTTTACAGTTACTGAAAACATTGACTTAACTGATGGTACAGTCACCACTTCAGAGCCTCATCAGAAGATGCAGTTAAAAAACTATGAAACCGAGATGTCAGGTGTCAGTACCAAAAGACACTAGGCTCTCTAGGAATTGTTAGCAACCCCTGATCAAATTGACTTTGTATTGTGACAGATATATCCCTGAGAATGAAGTCTTAACTGTGGGATAAAAAAGGCTTTGTAGATATTTCACCTACTGCGTGTAACTGTGATAAATTGCAGAATTATTTGTCTGTGAATACCCCCATTATCGCAGAGAGACTCCCCAGAGGACTCCAGTCCAATATCAAACAGGACCCAAGAGATGTTGTAAATCACCTTTAGTTATTACCCTTTTCAATGATATTTTTATTTCTTTTAGGCAGGAAGCCCAACCTCCGTAAATGCCCCTTGCAGCTTCTCACGGACATCTGTCACGCCATCCAACCAGGATATCTGCAGGTAAAGAGATGTTCACAGGAGATCACAAGGTTCTTACTCTGGGCTTCGCTTATGACCAGCTGCAATCTCAGGATATATTAGGTTCTAAATATTGCTGTGCTTTATAAATCCTCACTATTTTTTTATGCATGCTTTCCTTTTTGTTTCATTTACACTTTTTTCTGCCCTTTTTTTTTGTTTTTCTTTGCTTGATTCATTTAACCCTGCATGCAGTTCTGATGTGGTGGTTGGGGATCAGGGCCCACACTGCCCTGTACAGACAGCCGTGGTCCTGGTGAGTTCTAGCGGCAAGAATTCTACGGCTCAGGGTGTCACCGTGACAACCGTCTGCCAGGATGCTGCCCAAAAGGCCAAAAGGAGCCATCCTTTTGGGCAGGATTGGATGCATTTGCTGAAGCCTCCTGTAAACATCAAGTCAGACGGTGGCTCTTTGAAATTTTCCAAATCCCTCAACGACGTGGGCCCAAAGATGGATAACCTTTCCAGCGGATTGAATTTCATCGATAGGACATGCTCTGAGGGAGAGCTGGCACCTGTCCCGTTGAACGGCTCAGGTATTAATCAGTTTCAGATGAGCAAAGCCAAAGGGCACAACGGCAAACCTCACCATTTCAACTTCCCTTTCTCGGCTCGTGTCCCCTCCTTTTCCACCAACTACAAATACATCAGCGGTCCAGGAAGCGAGTACTACGCCATTCCAATCCCGCCTCATGAAGGGAAGTTGGTGCACGATGCGCAGAAGAGCACAAACATCCTTCGCCTCTTGTTTCCTTTTTCCCGTTCCTCCACGGCCGGGAGCCTTCACAGGCTCTCGGAGCTGGACAGTTACGCTACGCGCTTGCACATGGCCAAGTCCTCCAGCGTACTGATGGAAGGCAATGAGTCCTATTGTACCGATGACATCGGAGATGACGAGGTGTTTGAAGACGATGGCGGTACCGCCAGGTCGCACGGCAAAGCGGACGATGTGCGCGCCCCCCTCTGCTCGCTGGAGGAGGACAGTGACCTGGATTTCTGCTCATCACCCCTGTCTGAGAAAATGGTCCCACAGTCTCCATATTCAATGTCAGGGGACGTCTGCAGGTTGGTGCCAAACCCCAACCACCCTTGTCACACCCCTTCAGACCCTTATCAACCCTCCTTCCTGCTGTGCCTTGACTTCCTTTCCTCTGTGTTTTGTCCTTTTGTTGGAAATTTGTGAAAGGTTTCAAAATTTTTTTGTGAAGCAAGATCTGCAGAGCTATTTTTATCACATGGCTTGCTTGATTGTAGTTCTGTCTTTTTTGGCAGCTGTTAAGATACAGAAATAAGTAATAATGTTTTTCAACATTTCTTGATGGTTGCGATTTTTAACTCTTGAAAAGACAGGTACTGTAACTCGCACCACTACGATTCTGGATTCTACGATTTGGCTAAGTACACCAGGCTCTCTCTCAGATCCCGTGCTGGATATTTAACCTGCTACCGCATAGGGTCCAGTTTTACATACATTTTTGGCCATCATGCCGTTACAGACTGGAACATTTGTTCACACAGAAATCCAAGCCAGGATTTAGGGAGTGATTTAAGAATGAGCTACACATGTTATATAAACATGTTATATGAAGCACAATGCAAATGAAAATGTATTCTAAACAATTAAAAATACCAAAGGCTGTGCATTAAGTGTCTCCTGTATATACTCAGAATTACAAGTATTGTGTGTTTTTTTCCTCTTGTGTGTGAAAATATCAGAAAAAATATTCCTGGGTGCTTGTTTTGAAAGCAGTTACTGTCGTCTGCATGTATATCCATCAGTAAAAAAAGCTTCATGATGGATTGCATATTCCCCTAATCTATCACTTATGTGCTGTGCACTGAGGCTTTTAAAAGCTCCTGACTTTATGCAGAGTAACTGACAGTAACATTGACAGCTCAGTACAAACTAAAAATGACATGCTGAAAGGAAATATTAAATTTCCTAACATCACATCTTCAAAAAGTGAAGATTGGCCATTTTTCTCTTTCCTCACAAACAGATTAGGAATTACTTTGCTGTAAATTGAGGAGCATGTTTTTCTTGTACTTGCCCCTTAAGCAGCAGTTTCTTCGAGAACACATCTCCAGCAATTCTGTACATTAACAGGCAGTTGCCTAATGTTTTTTTAAAGATGTAGATATGTGTGCAAAATTCCACCTCTTAGGAAAATAAAAAGGACATCACTCACTTTCATAAGTCTGATGCTGTGAGTAGAATGAACTAGGATTGAATGTGTACTTAGGAAAGTATGTTGCCCCAGAGGGGTGCCCTAGTTTGTCGCCTCGTGGAATCCTTATACAGTAAGACCGTAAGAAGCAGCCTTGGTTTTGGGGAATTGAATGACGATGAGATAACAGCCTGTAAATACATAACTGAAGAGGCTAAAGGTCTGTAGTATTATGAGTAGAGAATTGGGTAAGTTGGATTGATGTTGATTTTGGGGTGTCTGCCAGATGTCTAGGATTTTGCTGAGCAAGAACTCTGGTTGCAGAATCAAGCGAACAATACAAGACCCTAAATCACGGAGCAGCAGAAATCACGATAACATCACTTAAATATTGATTCATGCAAATGCATCCATTTCAGGTGCACCAAATAAAGTCTTACAGGGAATAGCGCTGATGTGATCATTTGATGTGAACAAGAACGACTGCTCCTTCATGTAAAGTTTCCATAAGCGATCCGCTGTACTAGTGAAGCTGCACTGGCTTTAGTCACAACATGCTTCTCGTTGGACTGGGAACACCGAGTTCTTTTTCACAGCCAAGGTCCCAATGTCTTTGTTCTGTCTAGTGCTGCTATCAGTGTGAGGTTCATCTTGGGGCATTTGTTCCCCACTCGGTGGAGGTATGCATGAGCACGCTCTCGTAAAGCCATCCCACACGTTTGTACAAAATGTCATGGTGTGGGAAGCGACAGCTTTCAATATGAACTGCGATTAATAATATCTCAAGTGCCGGGGATCAGTGATGAAAGAGCAACAGCTTAAAATAACTTCAGGCATTGTGTGTTGTTATCATGTTAGGGATTGCATGAGCAATCCATCTTTTCCAGACACCGGACTAATGCCCTTTTTTTCCAGACCCTGCTAATATCTAGTTTGAACTCTGTCTTGACTGGGCTCAGCAGTGCAAGATTATTGGGACCATTCCTGATTTAAATAAAACAAGGCAAGGTTTAGAGATTTAAATTTAATAGAAATGTATCAGCGATGAGAATTAATGATAAAGATCAACTCAGTAGACTGATGGAGGCATATGAGGAGGCCATAGTTGGTGTCCAAGCATGTAAAAATGGTAATCTCAATTTGTTGGTCTTATTTAGCATCAAATGTTTAGCTTACATCAAGAAGTAGCTTGGATTTTTTTTTATTTTTGTTTGAAGTTAAATTAGGACTTTTTTTCATTTGTTTCATGCAAGCTTGACTTTATTCCTGACTTTTTCAGATATTGTATATAAAATAGTAACTGCTTAAATATACCAATCGTCAGTTACTGTATGTTCTAAGGACATGATATATCCTTCAGTTGCCCGGCAGCCTCTGATTGACATTGAGATGCACTTGTGAGCATCCATCCATTTTCAGTACCTGCATTATTTAAGCCAGCAGTCACTGGGCACAAGGCGGGACTGCGCCCTGTACATGATGCCAGTCCATTGTAGGGTACACACTCACAGTCAGAAGAACATAAGAACACTCATGAACGAGAGGTAGCCATTTGGCATGTTGAGCTCATTTGGTTTTTAAGTAGAGCTCATCCAGACATTGGCAGTGGCCAGAGGATCAGATTTAAAAGCATGGTTGGGTAGCTTGTTCCAGACTCCCTCAACATTTTCCATAAAGAAGTTTCCCTGTTCTCAGTTTTAAACACACTTCCCTGTAGTTTTCGCTTGCGTCCTCTGGTTCGTGTGTCGCTGCTCATTCTGAAGAAGTCCTCTAGGTTAACTTTGTCAATGCATGAAGTTTAGATAAGATCAGTATAAGATAAGATCACTTTATTAGCCCTATACAATTTCTTGCATTAGGAATTTGTCTTTTCGTATACCCCAGCTTGCTCTCCATGAGACACACAGGCACACAGACGGGGAGAGAGAAGCTTGGAGTCAGAGCGCAGGATCCCCTGGAGCAGCTGAGGTGAAGGGCCTTGCTCAGGGGCCCAGGGTTTATTTGGTGCCCTCATAGTCTTTTCTGTTCAAAGCTATAATTGTTCCCTACTTTTTGTCTAGGATATTCATTTGTGCCCAGTAATGTACCTTCTCGGTCACTCTTCTCTGGACTGATTTCAGAGTAGCAATAGGTTTTGTGTATCATATTGACCAGCATTGAATATGGTTTTCCAAATGAGATCTTACTTGTGCATTGTACAATTTTAACATTGAAGATTTTAAATCAAAGCAAGTTATTTGAACTATGTGGTACATCCCAACCTTCTACTTACCTTTTTTTATAGCTTCCCAAGAGTCTGGATGTGTCTACATCAATAAATAACTCTTCTTCATAAGTAGCAACATCAAGCTCAGTGTTTCCCATTTTATGTACTGAGCATCAGCATAGTGATGCTGAGTTTGTAGCTCGTACTCCGTTGTTATTGTGGTTGTGCTCATATGTGCATTTGGGAATGCCTGTAAATCAGGCTGGCATTGTGTTGGACGGGGCAAAGAAACCAGAGAATCTATCAAGTGATTCTGGTAATCTGGTAATGATTCTGGGGCAAATACTATCTGTGGTTATTATTTTTATTTTGTTAAGGTCATGGATGTTTAAAAAATCCTTTGCTCTGCAATCTAGAAACTAGACGTATGAGACCTAACACAAAAGCCCAGGCAATAACACCTTTTTTTTTTGTGGGGGTAAAAAATGTCTTATTTGCAGTCCTAAAGTTGTCATCATATCTGTGACATTTAATTGCATTCAACACAAGCAGACATTCCATCCCTGTTGTCCACTAGAGAAGAGGATTCAATTAGTTTGCTTTTAATCACAAGCCCTTAATTTATTATTTTTAATGAAATGCCATAAATGTAGAATGGCTTCTATAATTTGTGCCATTCTCTGTGCCTTTTGCTCCTCATACTGAAAGCTTTCAGTTGGTGCTCCTGTGAAATACACAGCAGTTCCCTGAAACACATCCTTACAGTGTAAAAATGTTTCTCTGGAGGTCAGTTCAGACATTTGAAATGTGGCCTCGGTTTCAATAGTTGTGAGCTGTGGCTTATTGAAACCCTATGGTGGCTTTGCTGTGCGTTAGCATCATTAGAAAATACATGAAATACCCTTGAACCTTTAGCTACCAGCTTCAGTTTCCTAAGGCATCTTTAGATGAAAGAAGCACTTCATTAGGGTTAAAGGCCACAAGCAATTAGCACCTCAAGAGATATATCTGGCTGTGGCTGAAACCAGCAATTCAAGCTGTTACACAGGTATTAATTATCGATTAAAAGTTTTGAATACAGAAGTATAAAGTTTGATAGGTGAGTTTTGTGTAGCACACACCTTTTATTTCACACTTGTAAACTTGTATTTAAGTACCAACTCTACAGAAAGGAAAAATCAGCAAGAGGTGGTGGTTTCCATGCCATGATTGTGGCTGAACAATATTAGGTGAACTGCATTGTTAGCTTACTACAATATGTACTTCTGTGCTTAAATTTTACTGGATATAAATACATTCAGGTACTTTTGATGGTTTCAAAACCTGTAAAAACAGATAAATCTGATTGTTTCTCAGTTTTCTGAGCCAGTTTGATAATCATGGTCACTGAAATGTAAAATGAGGCTTCATGGAGATGCAATTACTTTGCTTGCATTCAAATTTCTTTAACATTTTTTTCACTGGTACCATTCTTTCATTTACTCACAACACAACTAAAGTACGCATCAAATCATACAAAACAGGAAAAATATGAATGGATTGTTTTTATGAAGAATTACATAGGTATCTATAGGGAGTACTTAGTGAGCTTAAAGTCTGTTAGATTATGTACTTTCTGCAAGTCTTAATTTAAAGCAAAAGTTAAGCTCTGACCTCATTTATTCCCATCATTCAGAAAGCAGTATAAAAAGATAAATTCGCCATATTTTAAAGCAACTGTCTCTACATAGAATGCTCAATATTGATGTGTTTTTTGGCATTTATTGTATTTACAGTTGCCTGTAGGCATTCAGAAATTTAACTTCTGTGGTTAATCCATATGGTGCAAGCACAGCTTGAACAACACCTGAGCAGCAGAACTAATCCCATTTCAGCAGGTCTATCCCTTCATCCTTAAAACCTCTCTTATCTTACACTGGAAGCACTCCACTTTTCCCTGGAGATGAGATAGTGTATTTGAACACATGTTCCTCAAGAAATGTTTACTGTGTACCTACAGGTGATTTGCCAGAGGCTGTTTATACAAACCAAAAATATATTTGGATTTAAAGGTGCAGACAAGACATCCCACAGTATCTATGCAGCAATGATCTGTTCCAGCAAAGTGCCTGGTCCTGCAAAGAATTGTTGTGTTCAAGTGTACATGAGAGGGTTATTGCAAGTACTTTTATATTTTGTGTTGCTGAAGAAATGATTCAGGTTTGTTTCCACCTTCATTTCCCTTTCCCCTGCTACACCCTCATTGGCAACATCTTCAGAGTAAACCCTGTTCAGCAATGTGCATTGTTGTTATTATTAGATGTACTGCTCTCAAAGTAATGCACTGCAGTTTGGTGTAAAACTAAGATCTGGTCAAGTTGAAAAATAAACAATAATTCCATCTCCAGCTGACATTTACGATGAGGACTTGATTTTTTTATGCCACAACTCTTTCCAAAATATTTTACCACACACTGGATTATATTAATGAGAAATCCAAATTCTGCATAAAAAATAAGGCTATGGGGCAATGTCATATTTAATTTCAATTCCATTATGCTTTAGAAACCTTGCTGATGTGGAGCATGATCTTTTCAAGGAGACTTAAACATAATGGAACATAACAACAAAAGTGAAAGTAGAATATTTTTCTATAGCGTCACAGAAGTGACAGATTCAGAACTGAAGAAACAGAATTCAGCTTCAGGTTATAAATACAGTAAGTGCAATAGTTAAAGGCTGTAAAACTCCCCCGCAAATGTACATACTGTATCAAATACACTGATTTCTGTATCAGGCGTTTTGCTTGTTTTCATTTTTGTTTGTCCCATATTGCCTGTGCAGCCTTTTCCATTCTGGGACTTAATTTTGTTTAATTTCATGGGGAAATGCACAAAAAATACGTAAATGATTGTGTGTCCACAGGTACCTCTTGTACCTCATTGGAATTTCAAACAGAAATTAGCTTTCAGGCATAATTTCTGTTTGAGCATGATGGGACGGGGGGCGATACCTGCTGTTTTTCACAAAGTTGCAACATCCATCTTGACTCATAGCTTACATGATTTCTACATATACTGTAAACTGAGTCCCAAAGTGTGATAAATTGAACCAGTACAGGGTCTGAAGACAAACCAAGTTCTGTTTTGTCGTTTGGAGGAGAGAGCCAAAACCCCTGTACGCTTGATGGTCCCCAGTGTTGGTTTGCTGAGAACATGTTGGTACTGCTGTCCTCCCCCAGGATCTGTCACTGTGAAGGAGATGACGAGAGCCCCCTGATCACCCCCTGTCACTGCACGGGCAGCCTGCGCTTCGTACACCAGGCCTGCCTGCAGCAGTGGATCAAGAGCTCGGACACGCGCTGCTGCGAGCTCTGCAAGTACGAGTTCATCATGGAGACCAAATTAAAACCTTTACGGAAAGTAAGTAAAAGTCTGGGGGGGGGGGGAACTCCAAAAATTTCTCAGGAGAGCTGTGGTCTAACACTTTGCTTATCATTTTAGAATTTAACATATTATTTTTCTTTTCGTTCGTTAACGACATAAAGAAACAAAGTCTGATAAGGGGCTTCCTTTTAATAGCCTGTGTGTCCCAGCGGAGTACGCTCCGTTTAATGAACATGCCCTCCTGCCAGATCTGTGGAAGTCAACTTTATAGTCATCGCTTAAAGACTCAACACTTCAAAATGGTGTTGCTGGTTATCTGATGGGTCCTGCTGCTGGAGAAAATCAGACCAATCTGTTGCCCCTTAAGGTCTTCCCTGTTCCTTGGCTTTTCCAGCTGTGTAATGAGACCAGATGTTTTCTGTATGGTGTGCATGGATCTGCAAGACCCTTTGTATCTGACATATGATATCTGCTTGAATGAGGTTGTCTGCTTTTTTTAGTGCTGTTTGAATTGCATTTGATAGCATAATTATTTTAATGTAGAAAATGTACTTTCAGAAGTTTAAGAAAGGTTTTGATGAAAGTAATTTGATTAAAATCAATCTGTATTACCTTTGTGCATTACGGGAATCCATCTGAACAAAGATAAGTACTGCACAAAAATAGACCATGGACACGATTATAGGAGGAGCTAAGGGAGGTGCCAAGTGTAAAATCAAAATTCAAAATGAATTAAATATTTTTAGAATGAATTCCTATCTTAGGCTCAGTAGAGAAAATATTATCAGCATCGGCATCCTTTTTCCGTCTGTGTCTTGTCATTAATGTGTAGTCAATACCAGTCCTCTAAGTGTGTGATTTATATCATTTGTCATGTCAGTTTCTCTTGCCTCTGTCAAAGTCTCCTCCCAGAGCTTTCACTCTTCTTTACATCTAATACAATAAGAATGCAAAATGCATGGTGAATCAAAGTTTTAGAAATGTATAAATATATATTTCACAGTTATTACAGTGCATTGAGAGAAACCCAACTCTGAAATGGTGGAAAAATCCACTGTTTCAGAGTCAGGCAGTTGAACAGCTCTTCTCCTTAATTCTTGTTTCAAATGTTCAAAATTTGTCTTTTGGTGGTTCAACCTTGGTCCTGGTTCTGTGGCTTTCTCCAAGACCAGGCGTGCGGTGAAACCTTTCTGTGATTCTCTCGCACACCTGATGAGTAAGAAGTACTTGTTTAAATCTAGGAGTCCAGCTGACAGGGACTGGGAAGTTAATGACTAGCAGCTGGTTCCCCTTAGGTGATTATCTACTGTAGGCTGACTGCCTGTCACAAGCATATTTATCTCTCTTTCAATGTATTGAATCAAAAGAAGACTTTTATGTCTCTGCATATCATGGCACTTGTGTTAAAGGGGTATTTCAGAATGTAATCAGTTGAACTATATTTACAACACAGCTCTGCGATATCCAGCTGTTAATATTTTCTTAAATAAGATCACGGTTTAGGAAACGTTTAGAACCTCATAAGTTTGCTGTAGGTTATGACTTTCTGATCATTGCAATACTTCAGATTTCTGTATCTGGTTCTGTTTTTTATTCTGCTTTCACTTTTTCACTCTGATCCTGACAAAAGAATATTTATGTTGAAATAAAGTATATAACCCAAACTTCCCCTTTTCCTTGAATGTTCTAGTGCTGGGTGGGTCGGGTGTTTATACTTCCTAGTAAGTGCTGATATAGTGAATGCTGTTTGTGGTTTACATACAGTACATGAAACGTAAGACTTACCGTACTAAGTTTGCTTAATTATATAGTGCTTTCCCAAATGTTCAACAGATAGTAAAAAAATTCCAGCATTGCAAAATACCTTCTAAGAATATTTGCTTCAATTGTAACCCTTTTAACAATGCTCTTGTAAGTGGTATAGTGAATAATACATTACCACTGTAAAATAAATACAGTAGGTAATCATCAGCACTGATTCACATTTTTTTAATCACATGGTCATGTGTTGTCAGATTGGTAGATTCAGCTGAGGCATTTGTCCAGTCTCCTCTGCATCTGCAGTTTAAATGCCATCGACAGGCTTTTCTGTCGCTGCTGAGGGTGCACGCGAGAGTGTTGGTTGGTTAAGGGGATTGTTAACGAGGCTGTCTGGCCGATCCTCACAGTGGGAGAAGCTACAGATGACGTCCAGCGAGAGGAGGAAGATCATGTGCTCTGTGACATTCCACATCATCGCCATCACCTGCGTGGTGTGGTCTCTCTACGTGCTCATCGACCGCACCGCCGAGGAAATAAAACAAGGTCAGACCAGTGGTATGTACAGTTTGGTGCCTTTTGCCAAACCAGTCTCGCTGTCCATGCGTGAGGAGTGTGAAGAACCTGTAACCTCTGTATTGAGCTTTGTAAGCCACAGCACCTAAACCCTGCCTACTCAGTGCGCACTGTCCCTTTCCTTACATAATGCCCAAAAACGTTTTTAAAGTGGAGTTTCTTATTCAGTGGTAGCTACTGTAAAGACAAAATTGAAAGGTTTTATTTTTAAAAATTAGGTATTCCTTTGGTTGTAAAGTAAGATAAATAGAGGTGTTCTCTACAGAATCACTTACCTCAGAAAAAAAACACTCCCCCCCCACCCTTAGTGCTGAAGTCAAAATAAGGGTGATTGTGGTGATTTTCAGCTCAGGCTATCTTGTGATGTTGAAGTGACCAGAGTGACACATGTTTGATGAGCATCTAAAAAAACAGTGTTTGAGAGGTCCATTTTAATTTCTGTCTGTGCCGCATGGACCATTTTAAGCTGCACATGACCTTAATATTGAAACAAAGGTCAGCACAAAAAAATGATATTAGACTGTTCTGTTTTTTTGGTTTAGACAATGTCAGTACAAATTCCCGGGTGAAACATTTGCACCCCAGTTGGAAGTTGCAGCATTGTGGATTCTTTGGTCAACATCTTTCAACATTAATCAATCCCAGAGTCTGAGAGAGAGGTTGTGTCTTTGGACTAAGGGGGAAAGAAGACTGGTTAATGTTTTTTTAGAAATACCCTTAAAAGCTTTTGAATATGGTATACCACTTCTGGTTACCCTTCTGGTAAAGAAAGATATACTCCTTAGAGTTATGTGCTAAAGTAAAGGGAAAGTTGATTTAGACACACAGGGCCTCATTCACAAAGATTTTGTAAATGTTCACAAAAAACATGTGGATTCTGATCTAATGAGATACTGATTATATAAGTTTGTATTCATGGGGGTGACTGTCTATTGTTCATGCATGAATTGGAAATGTTGATATAATTAGCATAGCTCCACCTGTGTGTTAGGCAGAGGTCATATCTGAAGATGGTCCTTATCAGAAGGCTACCTGTAAATAGTGTTTTAAGTGCAATAATGATCTACCTCTGATTATAAAGGACTGGGCAGAAATTGAGACCACGTGAAAGTGTAGTAGAGTGGGCAGGTGGAAGTGATTTCTTTTTAGGAGAATATAAAATAGATTTTTTTTATTTTATAATACATCATGTAATCTGGATGCCGCTGTTCTTCTGTCACCAGAACTATCTTCTTCATCTCTGCTTTGATAATGGTGCCTTTTCCTTCCCTAAATGCTTGCCTATTCATATAAACCATTCATTCTGCATGTCACATTTTTGTAAGAATGATCTCAGCCTGTTATATCTGTATATTATATATTATAGCTTTCCCTAGTTCAAATATGTGCATGTGCAAATCAGGCAGATCTCACAGCTGGGACATGTTTGTGAATACCATGTGCTTATCATTCCCCATTTCTTCTGTCTTTCCATATTTACATAAACCTAGATCTGTTTAGCATATTCAACATGTAAAAGTTTACATTGATGTTCTTTCATAGGTAAGACAGACGACTTTGCATGGTTAATAAAGTTATTCATTAAGTGGCACTTACATGCTTATTATCACTTCTAACCTTCTGTGAACAAGGCCCTGTGAACTTAAAAGGTTCATAAGATGAATTGTTTTATTTGGGTATATTAATCTTTTAAGAATAACAATTGAATCTGCAAAGATTTTTTTTAATACCACCTGAGTTGGAATATCCAATGCTGGCTGTTCATGTCTTCCAAAACCCATGACCGCACACGGGAGAATGAGGAAGAATAGGCAGGTACTGACCCACTTCAGGCCACTTGTCTTTTAGCTACTCTGAGTAACAATGCCCCTGACCGGAGGTTCAGTGCACAAAATTGCCTCGGAGACTGAAGGGGTCTGACTGCAAAGGGTGTTTTCTAGTAAAACACATTTGTTGATACTGACATTTGAGTAGGTGCTTACCCTTGATCTTACCAGGTATTTCCTTGATTTCCAGAGACTGGAAAAATCAGGTTGTTGTGGATATTGGAAATTCATCAGCACAAACTAAAGGTGTTAATAGTTAAGTTTACATTGCATATATCAATAATCATAAGAGAAGCACATTATGCATCGGTTTGTATTCTTATGGTCACAATGTTTCTTTGGTAATACATTATAACTAAAACTTTTTTTAACCATGCAGCCGGAAGAATCCCAGGTAATTCTTTTCAACTTAAATTTTTACTTTGAGTATAAAACTTGAAAAACAGTTTCAGTTTGAAATATGATGAGCTTATACAAGGTTTTTTTCATACACATGCACATTTAATTGGCATCGCTGAGAATATAGTGTAATCAATATATTGGTGTTTTGCAAAATAATGCAAAAAATAAATACCATTTTGGCATGTTGCTCATGTGTCTCAGAGGATCCCAAAAGCAGTCACTCAGGAAAGACAAAAAGAGAATTTTAAAACTTCATAACCGAGCCTTTATGTAGTTCTTTGTCTTTTTTAGAGACAATGTTAATATTAGTGGTAACGGGAAATGGCAGGGTTAAAGAAAATATCTACCAATTAAGTATACTGTATACAGAAAATATATATGAACCACCATGATTATTTGAAATGGGAGCTTTGTTTATATCACAATTGTGCTGCTCTCGCAGAGTTTCATTGATTTGCAGTAGCTAGAATATTAAAATCAGTTGTAACAAGCCACCCAGATTTGGGTGTTATCATGCACTGTTGTTATAGTCTCCTGACTTAGACATATATCTCAGTTAGACATGGATGAAATGGCTCATTAAACCTTGAAAGCTGGATTTGCGACATCTTGTATCAGTGTCATATGGTTAAACAATTTTAGGCACTGGAGTTTCAAAATTTTTGAAAGCCAATTGAAAAAAAATACTGATACTGAGATTTTTTTCTTTCTTCAAAGCAGTGTTATTTAAACAACCTGTCATTACCTGAATAAAACAATATGTTGAGGTATTGTATAGGTCATTGGACAGGTCAAGATCTTGGCCTGGTGAGGATTATAAAATGCTTTTACCAGATCAGACTGTTGGGATTCAGATATTCTAATGCTTCAGGTATCTGGGAAGTCTTATGGCAATGTCCAGACCACTGTGATCTCATTAGCAGGGCAGGGCCTGAGTGTGAGCTAACAGCGCTTTTCTGTCTTTTCTGCTCCTTTCTGTTGTTCTAATAACATTTGTATCATCTTACTTGTTCTTGTACATAATTAACCATCTGTTCTATATGGTTAATAATACAGTGCCATTTTAAGTCAAGTAAACCTCTTTTTGTTGTTGAAAGGCTGCTTTTTTGTCATTATTACTTTTTTTTTTGTTTTGGGCCTTATTCTTCTAGTGGTCCCACACATTTTTGTCCATTGGAAAGATTTTTTAATCTAAATATCTTGAAGTAAATCTAGTTTCTGTATCATTTGGCCCTTCATGGGTGTTACATGGCATGTTTGTCCTCCACTTGTCAAGCCAGGCCTTTTGAGAAAATATTTTCAAGTGTGCATACAAGGTGCGATTGAAATATCATGCGTCACCATTGCTCACATACAGTACATCCATTGCAGCTAAAGTCAGTCTTATTTGTTTGTAGAGGCTGCCAGTTTTTAACTTTTACCTCTGAACTTTTATTGCAGGTATTTTGGAATGGCCCTTTTGGACAAAGTTGGTGGTGGTAGCAATCGGTTTCACTGGAGGACTGGTGTTTATGTATGTACAGTGCAAGGTGTACGTCCAACTGTGGAGAAGACTGAAAGCATACAATAGAGTAATATATGTGCAGAATCGCCCAGAGACTTGTAAAAAGATAGTTTTTGAGAAGCCTGCACTAATGGAGCCAAACTTTGAGAACAAAGAGGCCCTGGCTCCACACCTGTCAGACACAAACTCTTCCCAGTACACAGAGCCAGAGGACTACAGTGTGGAAATACTACATGTCTGAACAGTTACGGTGACCTAACCTCTCATTCTTGATGGAACAACTGTTCCTTATGCTTGGGTGGACATTCTGTGGCTCACAGTCTTGTACAAAATTGACCAGGTTCTTTTTTGTTCCTGTTTATCTGCGTCAGCTAATCAGTGTGAATCAGTACACCAGATCTTGAACACATCTAACTACTGCCATCTAACTGCTGTTGTCTGAACTTTAAATTCTGAGATGCTCTTGCTCAAGTTCTGGTTACGTCTGTGACAACGCATACAAGCATTGTTCTGGCCATTCCTCTACGCGATACTCGTGTTCTCTAAAAATGGAAAAAGAAACTTGAGAAAAGGTTTCAGTTTCAAAATTCTCCTTTTATACCATGATTTTTGTAACTCAGCATTGTAGAAGTTGGATGAATTCTTGAATTTTTTTTTAAAAAGGGAGCAGGTAGGTAATTTTACACTAAGATAAGCATTCCACATTTAAAAAAAAAAAAAGGTTTAGCCCTTAAAAGCAGGTTGTGGTCTGTGTATTCCGAAAAGCAAATAAACTAGTGGAAAAAACAAACATTTTGAAGTTGAAAGAATGTACAATTTTTACACTCATTTTTCTACTGATTTAACAAGTTAAAGCTTTTCTGCTCCAACTCTCTCCATCAGTATCATGCAAACCTGCTGATGAAATCAGTCGTTTTATACTGTATGATTGACATCTCTTGTATTAATTGTCTTGCTTTTTCATTTGTGCGATTGTTTAATTACTAGTGGTGGGGTTTAAGTCTGAATTGTAAGCGCTAAATAGGTGCAAAGGAATCGCAGCTAGCTGTATGATGAACTTGCCGACCCCAACTGAGAAATAAGAACTTCAAGGTGTCTTTGCCAGCAAGATAATGCATACTTTAAAGAACAGTACATTCCAGATGGTGACAACTAACAAAATTCCCATTTTGAATTTTTGGTATTTTACACAAAGACTGTATAGATAGAAGTGGAGATCAGTGATGCAATAGCAGATGCATGACATTTGATCCAGGCGTATTTTGTAATTTCATAGATCAGAGTGTAATGATCTTCCCATTTGTTGAAAAGGTAGGAATATGATTGTGATCCGGGCCTTAGACCTGAAACAGTTTTCTACAAAAATGCTTCGGGCAGTTAGACTACATGCATCTTAAAAGTGCAATTACCCTTTTGTTAAACTGATCATATAGCTAAATGTTTTGTATTTCACTGTGTATTGTGTACAGGTGGACTGGATACATATTTTTTTTTATAAGTTTTGTTGTATTTATTGAGAAAATAATTTTGAAAGCGCACAGTTTTTGTGTATATACGGCACTCGTCCAAGTTACCTGAAGTTTATGCAACTAACACTTAGCAATTGAAATCACAGGAGTATCATATGTAATGTTGCTTTTGTACATTCCCACCCATTCACATGCTCTTCAGCATCCCCGCGACGTGCTTTGCATACTTGGACACTTGGAGAAGACACAAGGGCTTTGTCCTTATTGCCCTTTTCAAATGTTATTGTTGTGTAGCGTGGTAGGTAACAACTGAGTGAAGTATAACACAGTGCCGTACAATCCAAAAAGAGGGGTGAAGCATAGATATGTATGGAAAACATTCCAAACAATGGAAAACCATGGGAAAAAGGGAGCAAATCCTCTCTTGTGAGGGTGCACTGTTTAGGCATGACACATGACACAATGTTGAAAGAAAATAAAGGCTTGGTTATAATCAAGAAAGAAACTCAAAGTTAGGTCTTTCATTTGTTTTTTTTATTTGTAAGAACCATTATTTCTGTCTGTCTTTTATCCTATGCTAGTTATTTTTTAATGAACTGTAAGATCTTCCAAGGTAAATGTACTTTAACGTGCTCCAAGGATGACTAACATTAACATGTTACCATGGGTGGTATACTGAAGATATCATATATGAATATCATCCAGATTGATTTTCTGCTCATCTGTTTGTGAGGGACTGGCTTATATTAAGTGCTGTCTAGGATTTCAAACTGATATGTTATTGTTAGGAGCAGTAGATACAAGGGCAGTCACCAGCTGGTTTTGTTTCAGCTTGTACTGTCTATGTACTGTATTAACACCAAGTATAGTCCAAAGACAGTCAAGAATAACTTTTCTATGTATTAAAGCTTTTAGTTTTCTTAAATTAGATCATTTAAAATGTACACACAGCTTGATGATCTGAAGGGGACATTAAGGGTATTTTGCACAATAAACTCAGCGTTCAAAGGAATAAACAACTTAATAGAGGAGTTTGAGATAAGAAATGACTTGGAAGCCCAGAGTCAACATGTTTACAGTCATTTGCTACAGTACCAGGCCTCCATTTTTAATTTCTTCGTAAGAAGGTGTTACTTGCATAAAATGAATTGCTGACTGCTTGCAGGCATTGAACTGATCCTGAAATACTGAAATACTGCTCTAGTTCTTTTTTATTGTGTATTCCTTTTCCAAACCACTGAATGTGAATTATGTTTGATGTGTATGTATTCATTTGGATATCTGTGCTTTTTTTAAAAAGGAGGGTTTTTTTTAATTATTTCCATTTCTTACTTTATGTTGCAAAAAAAATAATAAAGTGGTTGTGTAATATAAATATTTTCTATTTCAACCTACCTTTCACTTGAAGTCACATTTCTCTGGCTGGTCCTACAAAACGGAGCTGCCTGTTGTTTTAGGCCTCATGTGATACAGGAGGAGGGTTTAAGAAACTTCAGTTACATTAAGCCTTTTAGCAGCGGTTCCACTTCACAGCATTGAACAGAGGTAAAACTGAAAAGTACATGGACAAATAACAGATGACATCACAGTGGCATTCCTTTTGGTTTAGATTGTTCACTGCTCTCAGAGGCTCTTACAAAACGGAGTGTCCAACAAAGAAAATTGAAGAATAAACTTGCAGTCTTCATTGCTTTTATAGCAGCTAAATATGATTGTTGGTAAGCAAAAAAAAATGTTGTAACTTAAGTGTATAGTTTTGTATTATTTTAGGTATGTTTATATACTTTTCTCAGTATTATCTCACTTTTAGCAGGTTGGCTCCTTAGTTTCCTATTGAAATGTATGTGATTATGTTTGTGTCGTGGTTTTGAGGGATTGTTGATTGCAGCAATAAACTTTTGTAAAACAGAAAGAAAGATGACCAGAGGGACAAAGATCGTTTTAATTGTGATGTTGATGAATTGCCCTACACAAGTATGTGTATTAATGTACCTGCTTTTTTCATATAAATGCTTGGTGCCCACGCCAGAAGGACACTGATATGTGATGCAAAACAGGTGTAAGAGTTTTTGGTCTGTTTTTTCCCCACATAAACATTCAGTATTTTTGTTTTAAAGAAAAATGCTGTCTTTTTAAGATGATGAATGAAATATAATCTTTGATGCATCACTGTGTATATTTTAGAAGACACAATTTCACATTTAGAAGCACAGTAGGAAGGAATTTCCTTACTTATGACTTATGAGTGGAGATTACCAACCTCTTAGGCACCTTCCACCAATGTCTTCAAGTTTTTCTTTCTATTTGATATCTGATTTACTTAATTGACCTGATTATTTGCTCAATCTTATAGTTCCTAAGGTGTTTTACAGTTTTCCTGATTAGAAAGACATATTTGATCCCAAGTCCTGTTACCTACAGTACGTGGAAAAATATCACACTTCTCCATTTTAACACTAATGAAACCATTTAGACCTGTAATTAACTGTAGCATCTGGGTAAAACAAATCCAAGAAGGCACTTAAATCCTCCCTGCACCACAAAGAGGTTAAAAACTGGATTAACAATACAGAGGTGAATATCATTTAATTTATTATGCTAAATGTTGGTTTGAAATATGAGTACAATCGCAACAGTTTAAAAATTAGTCATTTTTTCGCACTACAGGGAAACATTTTAACTTTAAAAAAGGTTTAAGACCGCAATGACTAACACTGTTTTTCTAGTGCACAATTGTGCAGGTTCTGTGCAATGTGTCACTGAAATTGGACGAGACTAAGGATCTTAAGGCAGCAAAAGGCCCCCTCAAGAAAAATCAGTCTGTGTTTAAGGTCCTCCTATACTTCATCTGAAGTCAATCATTATAAGCAATTTGATCCAGCTTATAATAAACAGCTACAGGAGTAAAATAAATAACCAGTCTTCCATTGTCCTCACTGTAAATATTTCGCACCTTTGTCAAAAACCTTTCGAGTCACCATTACAGCCACTTTGTCTGCATTGAAATACGTCTAAAAATACCTTGCAGCGAAAACTAAAATTTTGATTTGATATATGAACAGATCAATTTGAAAGTCTCCTTAGTGCTTTCCAAATATGTGATTTCAACCTGTGAATTTTGAACATTTGCCATTTCTTCTCATTTACATTTAAGAAGTCCTTAGAGAAGCTTGTTTTTCTGTGCAACAGCTGTCAAGCATAGCTGACATCTATCAGGATCCATCAGCACAAAGATCATCGATCTGTAACAGTGTGGGATATAGGACAGGAGTGACTGGTCTTCAACAAGTTACAACTTTAACACAATTGCAAGACACTTAGATAAGGTTGGGGTGATAAATGACAACACATACTGGAACCATAAGAGACTGCATCAAATTGTTCCCCTAAGCTACTATCACTATTTACAAACATATAAACCTCAGTTTAAAGTGTTTTCTTTATGAAAACAATTTTGAATGATATAATTTATGGCTGTCAATTTTAAAAATGTGATATTCTTTTGGAAGTCCTTACCGAGTAGTACTGTATCTGCAATATTAAAAACAAAACAATGAATAGCACGTTAAAAACATCTCAAAATGCATTTTAGTCTTGTTCTACAAACAACAGCTTATACTTGAATTTATACATAAATGACTAATACTTCAAATGCATTAGAATTTTTCGTCCTGCACTTATATACCAGGATAATATCTGTTCAGCAGTTTTCTGGAAATCACTGGGTAATGTAAAATTACTTCAGCATACTGAAAGTAGTTGGTGCTGCGTAGGATGCTGACAGCATTTATGTGCTGAAATTGTGTAAAATTAAAGGATTGAATTCTCAAAATTATAAATATTTGTTTCTTAAATGATAACTATTGCCAAAATGTTGTATCATCTTGGATGACTAAAAATAAAACTGGAATAAATAAGATCATGCATGCATGTTAGTGGCAGCCCTTCATATTCTATATCCAAACTGGCCCAGTGAGACCACAAGGGCTGAATTAGGAATGTGTTTGCCCACAGTAAATGAAGAACACAGGCCTGTCCTGGACACATCCTGTGGTGGGAGGGAAGGATGTGAATGCACATGACTATCGTCTCCACATCTATGAAGACAGGAGTAGCAGTTTTAAAGTTCAGTAAACTTGTGCTGTCTGCTGCTATTTTTTTTCTGGTTTTCTTGCATTGTCCATTCTAAATGTTCTCCACGGATGCCATTCTGAACCTGTATATCAATTGCACATTGTCCTTTTCCACTATGAGAGTGAAGAAATGGAGAGGAATGGGTGTTGCACCTTACAACACTAGAGGGCTCCAGAGCACAGCCATGGTCATGGAACTTTTCCACCCCACCCTTATAATGAAAACTGTCTAATTCAGTGCATTCAGTAAATTCTGCAGTTAGTACGAAATCTGTCTCGCAATTTGTAAGTCATAATAATCATAATGCTTAAAAACGCAATGTAAACTGTCAAATATGCAATCAAATGAAATGCTGTAGTAGCTAATCCATCACATTTACCATTCAAGTCTATTTGACTCAGTCATGTGTTCGTTATCATTAACATCTCTTAATTCTCTCTGCAGACCAATAAAGCTGCTCTGTGTATGATAAAGAACTAGCAAGACAAACTGTTAGCTTAAAACAAAATGGCTGAAATTTCAGTAGAATATCATCCCAGTGTTGTTTCCACATAAAGGAGAAAAAAACAATAATTTTCACAGTAGTGCATTCTTGCCAAATTAGTTTTCAGCCACACAAAACATAGTGTTTGATGTTGCTATTATGAATACGAAAGGTGAATGTCAGAGAAAAAAAAACACTTAAATTCTAATTCCATTTAAGAAGAACCAAATACTAAAAATAAGGAAGCATCACATCAGTGAGGTCCACATTCATTAAAACACCTCCCTTGTTGTTTGCTGATAAGACAATTACAGAAAGAGGTAAGTGCAAGTGTATTTAAAGTGAGTCTTTTTGTGTAGAGCATTTTTTGTTTCTGTTTCTGGGACTCTGAATTAAATTGAATATTTGATGAGTTTGACTACAAAAAAGACCCCCTTTTCATTATGTACTGTATATGTCACTATATACTGTACACCTGCAACTCTGTTTATTAGTTGGAGGTAACAAAGTATGGATACAATGTCATAAATTCAATGAAATTCTAGAATTTACTATTAAGTCTGATGTACGGCAGGTTGTAAGTTAGTTAATTGAATAATTGACATCTGCTGTTAGGACCAATAACACTGCATTATCTTATGCTTTGCTAATTTGCAGGGAGAATTGGAAACATCTGGGTTTTGAAAGTGGGGGAGGAATAGTTGCTTCATGTTGAAGTCAGTGGGAAGTAAGTTTATTGCATGAGTGCGCTTTAATAGGAAACCTAATCATTTTACATGTTCAATCTTTATGAAGGAAAATTGTATTCATTGAGAATTTTTTTTTCATTTTTGATTTTAAATGGGCATCAAATCAGACTGAGCCTGTTTATTAGTGTTCCTGTGGTACTTAATTTGTGTCCCTGAAGCATTTGTACAACCAGCATGTTTTCACCTGAAAGAGTAAATGTTATGCTCCAAACACAAAAAGCTTTTTGGTGTACTCTAAGGTGGAAAGTTGATTTTTAATCTATGAAAACTTCATTATTTTCCTGTCACTACTTTAAAAGGTAGATTTTCTAAATGAAGTCTCATTGGCTGTGTTTAGAAGCAAAACCAGAGCCTCCAGGAGTTATGGAGAATCCACATGATGCCAAGGAGGAGTATAAAAACACAACTAAAATCTGGGTGAGTAGGACTTGATGGTTTTTTGCACATTTAGACTAAGACATATTTCAGAATTTCAAACACTAGAAAGCACATTGTGTTTATTTTGTAAGACTTTTTTTCCTTATAGGAGTAAATGGATTGTTCTCATTTGGAAATAAGAACACTTTATTTATTTATGATGGCTAAAAATTAAAAAGTCAATCAAAAAAAATTGTTTGCTGTGTACATGGAAAAAATAAACCTTACAAAATTATTAAACTTTTAAAATGACCAAACATTACTTCCTATTTTGATCCTGGTTCGTGCTTTGTTTTTGAGGAGCTGCTTTAAAAATGAAAAGTTTTCAGAATCTCGAAGGTACTGTACTGCCACGGGTTTTCAGGTTTTGTAGAATGATTCATTGCTCGTTTTTCAGCTGACCTGTATCTGTGGTAACAACAGCTGTCCAAAAATAAAAACTGACATTTCCAATTGTTTCATTCTTAGGATTCTGAAACATAACCAGACATGTTCCTTTCATGCCTTTATCTGTGGCTGGCGAACGTGTTGCAGGTGTTCAAATCACAGAGATTGATTGACATTCCACAGAGAGATTACTGTGTATTGCACAAGCAATCTGTTCAAGATAGGAAGGCCTTCTAATACTTTTACATAGCTTCACAGCAGGGTGAAATTCAAGTCTTTCCAGGGCTTGGACCACTGTTAAGTTAGAAAATAATCCATGATATTCATATATGCTACTCTGAGGAACATTTTAATTTCTGCTGTTAACGTAATTGTAGGTACGCGATTCTGTTGGCGGATTAGAGAAGACCCTGTGCACCTGAGTCTTTAGTCATATGTCTTTGGCAAATGGAAACATTCAAGACCTACAAGCCCTAAGTCTGCTGCTGCTTCAGCAGAAGAATGCATGAAGTTTAGAATATGTTTCTGTCAATAAAAAACAGTTTTAATGTAAAAAGACCAACTACAAAAAAAAGTTATAAAAAGTGGGTGGTTACTTCAAATATGCTAAATCTGAAGTTTGTCAAATCTGAATTAGTTTACGTATAGTGAGACAAAGCATTTGAATCTTTATTATCCCAAATATCAATTTCTGTTTGCATAAATTGTTCTACAGACATTACTGTAATCGTAAAGAACATTTGAC